CTGGAGAAATCTGCCGGCGCAGATCAGATTTATAACACGCTGCGTTCGCTGCGTGCGGTGCCGGGGCGGTGGCGCAGCTCTGCACCACGTTCCGTGGGGTTCCCACGCAGGAGCGGGCCCTCGGGTCCCTTTCGTGTTATTAATGTCTGGGCAAACTTGTATGTTTAATAAAAAGTGGAAATAATTCGTGGATATAGAAGTTTCACTGTTAATGAAACTATTCAAGGTTTTACAAACAAAATCACAGCTGTGGTTTTTAAAATAAATTCATTGGGGTACGAAATACTTTAAAACTTGAATTTATGTAGCTAAGAAATTGTGAGGGCATAAGATGGCTGTAATGCCTTAGTTGGCTCTTGGAACTGTTGCTGTTTACTTCGGGTGCAGTAATTTCAGTGGGATCTGCGTGTGTGGTCAGTGAACTTGCGGAAACTGAAAAGAATACATGTGACTGCAACTTCAGAATTTCTAGCAGTACCAAAATCTAACGAAAAACCAAGGACTGCAGCCACGAAGCAGAGCAGTAGGGATGCTGACAAACTGATTTTTGTGTAATGCAGCAGTGGGGTAGCAGGCTAATACGTAGGTCTGGTAGCACTGATGCACAAGTGGCTGTGCAGAAATAATGAACCAGAGTAAAATGTTTTAATGCATGTTTATCTGTAATATGGGAGATATTATCATGCTACAGGGTTCAGAAGAATGCTAACTATTTTTAATCATTGTTGGATGCTAATTTTAAAAAGGTGTTTTGCAGGTTAATTGTCTGCATACTCATTAGTCTTCATATGAGGAAAAAATTAGCACCTGCTAGCACTGAATAAAAGGATCTTGCATTGACGTAGTGTTCAAATTAAGAAAACTACTGGTTTAAAAATTTGTTAGTGTAGTAAAAAGAATTGGCAAATATATAAAGTAATTTAAAACTTAGGGCTAGAATTAATTTTTGTAATAACTGTGTAGCTATCTAGATATATTGTTTGGGTTTTATGTTTAATAATCAAATAATGATAGATACTGGTGGGATACACTTCGTTGTATTATCATTGCCAATACATGTCTAGTGGTGTAAAGGAATTCTTTTCCATTTTACATGCCTTGCTCGTTTGTGCTCCTGGTAAGCTTTCTGAGGCCTTGCTTTGGGATAAGCACTGGCTCGGGGTGGGCACTGTGTGCCTCAGAGGTGTCATGTCCTGAGAAGGGGAGGTGCGGAGTCCAGGCTGGTGGTTCTGCTGCACGAGGGCTGGCTGTGTGCTGAACCTGGAGCACGAGGGAGGCACCCGGGTCTGTAGGGTGGGCCGGATGCTGGAAGAGCTTCAGTAACTTAGGGGAAAGGATGAAGTAAGTGCAGCAGTCCCTGGAAAAAAGATTGTTTACCAGGAGGCAAGAAGAAGTAGGTTGACAGTTTGGCAAGTGTTGAAGGCGTGGAGTGGTGGCAATTGCAGTGATGCTCGTGTGGGTAAAAAGGTTGAAAGCCACTGTTAAAAGAGCACCTGCAGGAAGGGGTGTATCTTGCAGTGTGCACTGGGGATGAAACCCCAGCTTGGCCCGAGTCTTATCTTTATTTACTCTCGGAAGTTGGCTGTGCTGCTGTGGCCAAGAAAGGAACGCTTAGTCTCCTTTCCCTGGAGAGTCCTAACACTTGTCTTCCGTGTTAGCTGTGTTACGAGCTCTCTTGTCTCTTGACTAGCCACATTGTAAGTGTACTTTTTAAAGACATATTTGCAGGGTGAATAGCTCTTCTTTATTCCCACATGTATGAGACGTGTATACTTGCCCAGTGATACATGATAATTAGAGTGGGATTGATTTTTGGCCTGGGAGTGGTATGCCAAGTGTGAACTGTCAGTGACATCTTTCTTTGCTACTAGTTTGGAAATAACTGTAAAGGAGAGGTATGGAAATGCTGACAGAACTGTAACAGAGTAAAGAAATGTTATAATTAAACAGCCAGAAAGAGTCTGAAAGATTTTTCACCCAGATGCTAATTAACCCATGAAGCAAGTGAGCAAAGAGAGTCATTGAATCATGGGACTATTGAATCATTAGTGAATTAAAGAGACTAGTCATGTATACGGAAAAGGAGCTGGAGATCAAGAAAACAAAAGGAATAAGCATGTAGCTTTCACTGGACTCTTTCTCTTGCTCTGCTGTATCTTGTTAGATGTCAAAGCTTCTCCTTGGAGTAGCACAACTGTAATTAAACTAATTCTTAATATTTTTTTTAAATGAATCTGGTTTTTTTTTTGGGAGTACATAGTATCTCTGGAAGAACCGGCTGCTTAACACTGTTGAAATTCTTCCTAGTGAGTTAGATCTCTGAGTAGGAATGGAATTCTTTAAAGTTTGGATCAGTTTTTCTGGCAAAGATGTGTATTATGGGAGGGAAAGCTGTTTGTTTTCATTAGGAGTCTGATTAAAGAAATCTTTGTGTATCCACTGTTTCTACTCATTCAGCTGAGACCTTTGTGTGTGCTATAAACATTCTCAGGATCCTGAATGAAACAGAAAAGAAGAATTAGCTACTCTGTGTGTTTCAAAGACTAAAAAAGAAATGAAGAAGTTGTGAAGGGCAGAATGAGAGAAAACCTTTTCAAATATATTTTTCTAGATTTTTTTTGGATCTCTGCCTTAGTGCTTAACCGTTGTACTGCTAAAGGAAGGTACTGTGCGATAGCTATGATGGCCATTGTTTTAGGAAGCAGCTGTCCTATGTATTTTTGTGAGTTCATATTTTTTTGTCCCTTTTTAACCATTACTACTACTCCATACAATTAAAAGGAGTTAATTTCATATATTGATGTGTTGTCAAAGATATTAGAAAGCGTTTGTAACTCTTGAGTCTCTTTTGAAATTGTCTTCTGTTGCTAGTCAGGGAAGTTTTCATCCCCCTTTTTTGCCTTCCTACATTGTCAAAAGTGCTTTAAAAGCCTTTTTAAAATGTAAATTTATTTTTGAGCAATTAAAGCCAAGATGAATGGTCTGTTTTACAAAAGAGCAGCATCTTAAACTGTGATTGATAAATTAGTGTATGCTAATGTTAGTTCCTCGCGGCAACTAAGTTGTTTTACTCAGATACTTTTACTTCTGTTCTTTTCTGGATTCACATCTTCTTTTAATTAGAGATGGAGGCCATAGTTCTCACAGTTCTCTCTTAATATCAGATTCAAAATAAAACCTGAAATACATGTATTTTTTTGTTATTTCACTTAATGACATACGTAATCATCATAGGTGAGGCAAGGCTTTTTATGCAGGGGCTTACCACAGTGCAAACATATGAGTACTGATAGTTTTTTTCCTTATAATTTGACTTTTGCAAGTTTTATTATGATTACAGTGAATAGATGCAAATAGATTTCTCAGGGAAGAGCTTTGCAGCTACACAAGTTAATCTGTGCAGTCCCTCATTATATCTGTGCGTGATCATTTGATTTCTTCCCTTGTGTTTTCATACTTACCTTTTTCCTTTACTGACTGTTCAGTTTGAAACATGTGTTTAATAATCTCCATCACCCTGTCACGTATACAAATGCTTGGTTAAATTGCCCTTTTGATGTCCACTGGAATGGAAGAGAATCTAGCTGTAAAGGCAGAATACAGTTCAATGGCTGAAAGTAAAATTTCTTCAGTTTTAGTTTTATGCATCTCAGTAGGAGGAGAAATTTTGGTCTTTACATTGACTTTTCAACGTTTATTTCTTTGTAAATATACCTGCATCTATATAGACGTGGGATATGTTTCTCTATTTGTGTGTGATTATTTGTATGCGTATATATTTTCCCTTTACTCTTGCTTTTTAAGGCACGCGAGATCGAGAAGCTATGTTTCAGAATTTGAAGTGTGCAAACTGGAATCTGTACCCTTGGATTTTGGTGACTACCATCCACTGAAACCCATTACAGTGAGTTTCTTTTTGTGCTTTTGGAAAATGAATGCATATTAAAACCAATCATGTTCCTCTTTTTACTTCTGTTCCTTTAAAATTAAAAGGCTTTGAAGTTGGTGGTACTAGTGCAGTTGCTTTCTATATTAGTGGCCTGATATTTTAGAGGCGTGAAGGTTTGTTCTCTTTGTCCTTTACAGAAGTTTGCTGGTGCTGTCATGTGTCAAAAACAGTCTCTTTCTGACAAATACAGTGTTCCAGCTTGTGAGTTTTCCTGGTTGCATTAAATGCTGAATAATGGATAAGTTTAAAATCAAATTGTTGCATTACAAATAACCTGCATAATTGCTTGATGTAAGATTTGTTTTCAGGTTAACTTCCAGTCAGCTGTATGCTTTAAAACATTTATAATTTCTTTAATGTATGAGGCTTTTAAAAATCTGGATGTACAAAAATATCCAGCTTCAAAGAGACGATAGTAATATGCTAATGAATGATAAATGGACAGCAGTTTCTACTTAGGAAGGTCAGTAGGGAGGCAAGACAGAGGCCTTAGAAATAGATTTGATGCTCCAGGCTTGAGTATCATAGAAGAAAAGTGAAGATGAGACAGAGGAACTCAAACAGCAAGAAAGAGGTTGGAGGAGAGGGAGAAAAACAATAAAATAGAGGAGAGGTACTAGAAAGAAATTTAGAGTGGTTGTTGTTCAATTCTAGGTCTACAGAACTGTGAAGGAAGAAAAGAAAAAGTAATGGAAATGCTCTTGAAGAGTGCCTCCAGATTCATGGGAAAAGGAGGTGCTTCAATTTAAATGCAGATGCTCATACCAAAGAGTTCCTTTTGTTGGTCCTTGCTTTAATTGCAACAGCACGATTTATGTAGCACACATTTTGATGATTTATTAAAGAAAATAGGGGGAAGAGAAAGCTTTTTCATTTGACAGTTTTGAACTTTTCTTTTAGGTTACTGAATCCAAGACCAAGAAAATGAGCCGGAAAGGAAGTACTTCTTCTACCTCCTCTTCTTCTTCTAGTTCTATAATGGATCCATTGAGCAGTGTATTGGATGGTACCGATCCTTTGTCATTATTTGCAGCAGCTGCAGATCCTGTGACTACTGCTGCTGCCACGGTAACACTGGAGGCAATTAACTAAATAAAATAAAAAAAACCAAACCAAAACAAAGCCAACTCTGAATGAAATATATTTATCTCACCAGTTAGGTTAATGCAAATAGGAAATATACTGTATTCATAGAATAATATATTCTTTTTTTATTTACCTATTTTTATCTGGTTCATGTTGACATGTTTATTTAAATATGGATTTTTGTTTTAATATTGCAACTTTTGGAAGGATCAGTTAGCACTCAAAACATTAGGTTGACCTTTATCAGCCTTCTCTTTTTTTTCCAGATTTGTATTTAACATTTGCACTCGTACTCTCCTCGTAGGATGGCACACGAAAGAAACGAGATAGGGATGACAACTCAGCAGTAGGAAGTGACTTTGAACCATGGTCAAGCAAACGCGGTGAAATCCTTGCTAGATACACAACAACGGAGAAGCTCTCTATTGTAAGTGACAGCTTCTCCAGTTTTATTTATTTGCGCTAGTCCTTTCATGGATTTTGGATGTTGCTGTTTTGTAAATATTTCATGAGTAAATACTGGTCCTCTAAATTTCAGTTTTAATATTGTAGAAAGCTGTACCACCAGATCTCACTTCTAATGATTGTTTTGGAGTTGAGTCCAAAAGTCTTAGAAGCAATCGCTTTGTCTTTTTGCAACAATACAAATAACTTCTGGTTTTATGTCTACTTCTGAATGATTAGAGGCTTAATTAGCAGTGTAATTACTCTGTGCATTCTTGGAATTCTAGCAAGTACATGTTTTCTAAAAGTCTGCTTTTTCTGTTTCTTCACAGAATCTGTACATGGGATCTGAAAAAGGTAAGAAGTTGCTTTAACAGTAACAGATTTTGCTTGAGGGTAGGGTACAGTGACAGGTTTGTGGTCAAGAATAGCTGAAATGTGTTTTCCTGTCGTCTCTGGTTCTGACATATGGTTGGATCTGTATTTTTTTGGTGAATAAGACTTCTGCTGGATTTTTACTTAAAATAATTATTGCAAACAAACCACCCAACCCCCAGTTCTTCTCTTTCTGTAGGCTAATGAATTTGTGACTGTGTTATGGAAGGAAATGGAATTCACTGCATTCCACTGTAGCTTAAAACTGTCTTCCGTTTAAAGTGAGCAATAATGTTTTGAGGATCCTGTTTATCAGCTCTTCTGCTTGCTGGAAGAAAGCAAAAAAGTCCCTTGGGAACTTGTTCAGTTATTCTCTTTACATGAATGTGAAATGATTTCAACTGTATGCTGAGTGTTCAAAAAAGAACCAAATGTTAAATATTTTATCATGTTTTCTAGTGAAGCAAATCTGGGCTAAGTAGTCATGGCTGATTGCATAGTAAACCAGAATTTTTATATATGAGTAAACAAGCAGTGTTTCAGCTTCTGCAAAAATACGAAATACCTTTTTGGAATGAGAATGGCCAAACATTGAAACAAGATGTCCATAGAGAGTGTGACATCTCCATCCTTAGATATTGTTAAATTAACTGGATATATAACCCTGTGCAACATGTTGTAACTTCAATATTGGACCTGCTCTGAGGAGGAGAGTTGGACACAGACCTCCCTAGGAGTTTCTAACCTAAACTATCCTATGGTTCTAGCCAGTGGTTCTTTCCTTACCAGCAAAACTTCCAAGAAAATCCATTTATATTCAGTTTTGCTTACTTGTCATTGCCTGTTCAAAGTGAATGAACTGTAGGTGTTTAAATGTGTGTCTTAGAGAATAGTCACCAAATGAATCAAACCACTTTTCTTCTCTCATGGAAGCTGACTAGTTGTCTGAGTCTGTCAAGGTCCTTCAAGTTTGTTTCTCTTCAGAAGTCCAACTGTTTAAATGTTAAAGAAACTCAACGATATAATTCTTTACAGGAAAAGCTACAACTACTGGCTCGGCAGTTTCTGAAAAAGTGAGGACAAGGTTAGAAGAACTGGATGATCTGGAAGAGGTGAGAAAGTTTTCTGATCCAATTACATCACCATTTAGAAAGTGAAATAAATTTGCGAAATAAAAAGCTTTTATAAAATCTTTTAAAAAGGTCCTGATTCTTCATGTGCTTATGCAGTACTTTGATAAATATATACTTTCCATGGGACTTCTCTAGTAATTTCAGTCTTTATTGTTATAGAATTCAGGCAGAATCATATTTTTGTATCACTAGAAATTGTGATTCGAAAATTCACCTCATCTACCGATGTGGATTTACCTTGGTACTGTTCATGGTCTGCAGCTGCCATAAAACCTCGTGGAGCCTGGTAGTCTTAACACCTGATAATTTTGTTTGCGCCTGTTGCAGAAGCTGCGTGCTGTCTACCTGAGCTTAGTTAAAGTTACATTGTGTGCTTGATAGAAATACTGAGTACTCAAGTTATTTCTCAAACTGCAGTATTTTACTGAGCAAAGATGAGATGTTCCATAACTTTTCTCAAACCTGAATTGTTGGGGTACTGCTAGAATTGTTTTGGGTAGTGTTGTTTTGAAACCTTTGCCTGTTCACTAACTTCAGGTTGCCTGTTGCCTGAGCCAGCACAGTTCTAATAGTTGCATATGACAAATAAAGGATTGGATTCTGTTAGTAGAAAAATCAAGTATCCTTTATCATAAGGAAATATGTAACCCTTTGTGAAACTGTAATTGCATTTGCATGTTATCTCTTCATCTGTGATTGTTTTTACTGATGGTTGTTTCTAGACTGTCAGATGTTATGAAATCTGTTCTGTAATGTAGCTTAGTAAACTCATCAAACCAGTCCTGAAGGCAGTTTTTAATGTCACTCATACTTCTACTGAAGACTGTTCCAGAACCACCTTCTAATTTTTCTAAATGCATTTTTACTCACTTTGTTCCTGTGTCAGTTTGGTTCTAAAGCTTAAACAATTATTTCTGCTTCCAGTGTTTCACTAGTTCATTTTTGATACGTAATCTTTTTATAAGGTCTGTAAAATCTTCAGGAAAACAGATCACTAGAATGCTCTGATATGGAGCATGAAATGAAGATAGTTCTGTGTTCTTACTGAGGGCACAGCCAGATTTTTCTTGCTGTCCACATGTTTCTTAGGGCATTGCTGGTAAAACGTTTCATTTCTCTCTGATGCTGCTTCTACATAGGTGCTAGAATGCTTACGTATAGTGTTAGTGCACTAATTATACCATGAGTAAAATACCACTGAAAGAGCTTGGCGTTTCTGACCTCACAGACAACTTTCTTTGGGTACCAGCATGTATGTCTCTTGAAAAACAAAGCAACTGTTTGATTGTGATGCAATCCTGTGCTAAACACCTGCAATATTGATACTGCAAAGGTAAGAAGGGAAAAATAGGGAATTCCGTTATAAGTTTTGTGGTTTTTTTTGTCTCTCCCCACGGTTATTTGACTGTGTAATAATGGCACTCTCCTTCCTTCCTTCCCTCCCTCTCTTATTAAGTAGGCTTGTGTTTTCTTGCCAGGGGTCGCAGAAGGAGCTGTTGAATTTGACTCAGCAGGATTACATGAACCGAATTGAAGAACTGAACCAGTCTTTAAAGGATGCTTGGTCCTCTGATCAGAAAGTAAAAGCTCTGAAAATAGTCATCCAGGTCAGTTTTACATTTTTGTTCTGTACACAAATGATGAGTTTGGTGTGGCTTGTCTGATTTCTTTCTTGGGGAGAGGAGGGTTTCTATTATTTTTTCTCTTATTTTCTTCTATTCTTCACTGAAACTCATTTCTTTATGACTTCTGACAACAGTTGGATTTTTAACTTTGTTGTTGTGTATTGAGTTTGACTAGGGTATGTGGGATGGAATTCTCATTAAAGAGAGTGGCCAAATGACAGATAAGGAAATTTTACCTGGTACGGGGTAATAGAATAAATAACGTGTAGTGATATCAGCTCCTCATAGGGCATGCAATTTCCTTTCCTCTCCTCTTCCCTTCCAGCCCCTTGCTCCCCACCCCAAATAATATCAGAATAGTTTTTTGAATGTCAGTGTTTTCCCATCCAGACTTACTAAGGCAATTGAATAATCTGACTCAGGACCCTAGCAAGCTACAGAAAACAACTCCAGATTTTTTAACTGTGTGTATTTTGCTGCTGTTGTTTGAGCTTGTCCCAGTCTTCCTCTGGCTCATTTAGGGTGATTGGCTTTGAGGGGGACAGGGGGAAATAGGACAATTAAATGCTCTTTTGTTTGGCTTGGCCCTCAAAAAAGGCCAGAGGCAGAGTGCATCAGAGGACAGAGGAGATAATGACATCCTTAAAAGCTGTAAAACTGATGTAATGCTAATAGTCATCAAGTGGGGTTATATAAAGTCAGGGTTTATTTTTTTTTTTTGTCATGCTCGATACTCTTGTGAAGCTGTTTGCAGTAATTTCAGCTTAAATTGTGGTAAAGACAATAAAGGAAATGAAATATAAATGAAGTGAGATCAAAAAATAATATGTGACCTAGGGTGACTACTGTTCTATTGTAATACTATGAAATCAGCACTATTATTCTTTTTAAAAAAATCCATATATAGCATCGTGAAGTTTGAATATTTTAGTGAGAGAGAATTCAGTATTAAGTCTTTGGATGAGAGAAAAGGGGCACAGATGTGCTGTATTTACAGTGCATTGTATTTACAGTGTATTTACAGTGTCTGACATGCAGTGATAATCTACATGCTAATACTTTCAGGTATTCTTTTACAAATGGTTTCACAAACAGTTTTGAAGTAATGTAGTATCTAAGATGGGATTCAGTGCTTTCTTTTAGGAAAGTAGTATCAAAATTGCATGTTTATCTGTCTTAAAGTGATGTCTAGGTGTTCACTTTGCATTTCAACTTTGTGCTGCAAACGCTCATTGTTAATGTTGAAAGACTGGGTAAGAATGAAATAGGCATTTGGGTTAACATGAAGAAAACAATTTTCGTAAAGTAGACTGCAAGTACCTAATAATAATTCTATACTTAGAAAGCAGGATAGAGTAGAAACCTGACTGAACTTTCCTGGTTGTGGTTCTTCCTAGTAAATAACATGACTTTAAGAATGTTGTATCTTCTAAAAGAATTAAGCAGTTTTCTTGACATCAGACTGTGATTATGTTCATAGTCTGTGATTATTGTCATCGCATACTGATTAGTGTGCAATAGGATGATTAAGTTTGGCCTTTTTTTTGGGTTGTTATTTTCAGAAATGTATACTGGGCTGGAAGAAGAAATTTTAATTTGAATACTAGAATTATCTTGATTTAAGAACTAATGATGCAATTACATAACATCTTTCGTTTGGACATTGAGGATGAAACTGTCATTCTCTGCGCAAGAGTTTGAGTTTGACGTGCAGGAAGAGTTCTGGTTATTAAGGCAGGGTCTGAATTTACAGCATGTGAATTCCTCAAGTGCCATTTCACAAGATACTTTACTTGTCAAGATGGAATAAGCTAAGCTACTTAGAGTAAGCTGAAGTAAGTTGATTATGTATGTGAGCTCTAAGAAAAGTGATAATTAAGTGTTCATGGTACATGTAGGTCGTAAACAGCTACTGAATTACCATTCTTTGAAGGTGACTGACTTACCACCAAGTAGGGAAGATTCTGCTTTGGTTGTAAGATGTGAATGTTCTCGCCTGTCTTTCTGGTGAACTTAAGTTCCTCTCTGATAGACTAAGTGTGGTCCTCATTTAAGCATGTTAAAACGTTATGATTTCCTTGTTTAAACAAAGCAGTATTGTGGGGTATCAGATTGCTTCCTGGATTTTTGGAATGAAAACTTGAACTTTATTTATTCCATTGAGACTGAAGAACCCTCTCTCCTGATGAAGGAGAGAGAAGGGTCAGATCACAGACAATACTGTACTTATCAGTCTTGAGGTCAAAGGCCGCATTTGGCTCAAGCAGGAAGGAGGTGGGTTTCTCTCCCAGTCAGTCATTTGCCTTTTTTCTTCAGGTGGAAGTTGATTTTTTGTGAATAAACTTCTGCCAAAGTTTTTGACTCCAGTTTAGTCTGCAGTTTTTGCACCATCCTGGAAAACAAAAGTGTAGCTTAATTAGATATCTTAAAAATATCTTCATTCCTCAATGTGTATTTTGAATTCATATCATAAATGGCATTCAATGATACTAGAACTAAGTTAGCTAATGTGTTTTCAAATGTGACTTTGTACCAGCCATTGTTATAGTCCAGATGCCACGATCGTGTTGGGTGCCTGGGGGTGGTGATGGATTACCGATTCCTCCCTGGAGCTGCCTATGGACCAGCTGGCCTGTTTCCAAAATGTTTAAACTAGTTATGTGAGCTGCAAAGATGTGTTGAAAAGCTCATTAGCTGAACTTTTAAAATTGTTTCTTAATTTAGTCTATATCAAATTTTGTGTTTGATATGGATGCTTAGAGAGATGATGAGAAGCTGAAAAATGCCCTTAAAAAAAGTTGTTTTAGAAAAATGCCTTTTTATGCTTCTTCTGGGAGAGAATTTGTCTTGTCTGAACAAATGCATAGATCTGCATGGTCAGCTGAAATTCTGCATTGTAGATTTACTTGCATAAAGGAAAAACAGGTCTGTGACTAGTTCTGCTGGAAATGAACAATAACCTGAAAAATACGAGTACCATGATGTGCTATGTTAGAGGTTCTTGAGCTTTTTTGCTGGATAGTTCATGTTGATTCTTTCCATCTGTAGCTATTCGTCTGTTCCAGCCTGTCTGGAGTAAAAACACAAACTTGCATTGTCTTCTAAAAATGTTTCTTTCTTTTTTTGTTTTTTTTTCCTTCTAGTGTTCTAAGCTTCTTTCAGATGCAACAGTAATCCAGTTTTATCCAAGTAAATTTGTTCTAATTACAGATATCCTTGATACTTTTGGTAAGTACCTAATGTGCCAGACTTTATACACAATTTTTAATAAGATGAAATTATTTTTTTGTAATGTTAGAAAACGCCAAACTTATCCAAAAAGTGCTGAAATGACTCTCAGTTTTAACACAGAGTATTTCCAACATGAACATTTGGACAGTAGAGGTATAAATGTGGTATATAATTGTTCAAAAACTCTTATGAGTGAAGTTTTTACAATAAAAATATTTTATTTTGTAGTTCTATGCTTTATGTATATCTAGCACAAAACCATTGGAAAAATCATTATCTCTGCATTTTTAAATTTAAAACACACTGTCGTTATTGTGAAAATATTTTAGTTTTGGCACCTCTTGACTTGATATTTCATTCTATTTATATTTGAAGAATAGAAGTCAGAAAGCTTTCTTTAGCTGAATATGGACTATAAAGTGATCAAAATGTAGTTACTGCATTTTTTAATCTATTTTTATAATTTTTGTAATTAATTGAAATTGTCACCCACTTCATACGATTCTCTTGGTTTTCTGCCATGTTATGAAAAAGATTTATGACAGCGTTCAAAGTCGAAGGGTATTTTGATTTC